CGTTATTTTTTTAAAAGATAGGACAGAAAGTGACTTCTATACTTTTAAAATTTATGCAAAACTTAGGAGGTCTTTAGGCCGAGCCAACTATAATAAAAGAAATTCTTTGAAAATTTAAAAGTGATAAAAATAGAAAACAATGTACCAAAACCTGTCTTATGTGTTATGTAAAGGTCGTTCTAAATACCCATATTGATCAATATATGTTTCTTCAAACTCAGAAACTATAGACAGCTCAAGCATATTATTGGTATTATTGCGTATTACTATTACGCATAGCTAACTTCAAAGTCAAAAATTCGAAAAAACATTTACATTTTACAAAATGTAATAATAAAAGAATGCTTTTAATTTGTAAAAAAGAAGAGGCATTTTTATTTTGAAAGAAAATATACGGAAAAAATAATAGCTTAATCAAGTAAAAATTCTAATTCGAATTATGATAATTATTCTTCTTGCATCATTGCAATATGCATACAATGATATAATAATTCTTTATTCATCATCCCTGGGACACACATTTTTATATAATTTGGAATCCTATTTATCATTATCATTATTGCTGCGTTTTTATTTATGTCAAGTGTTTTTAATTACGTGGTTTTACTTACGTCAAGTCGAAATATCCTGGTGAGAAATTACCTTTAGTCAATACTTTAGTTACATCAATGTCTAAAGTCAAAAGTTTCGTCATACATCATTAAGTTACATACACAATAAGATATAGGATTGAAAAAGGGTTTAAAACCAAATCATCTGATATGATGTTTAATGACAATCCTAATTCAATTCTATATTAATATGTTGAAGAGGTTCGCCTTCACACAAGAAAATATTAAACGGATTGTAGTAGAATGTGATGGTATTCCATACCATCATAATATCAAATTAATCAGAAATTCCTCATATTTGACTTTTGCACAGTTGCGAAACTCTTTAGTTTTACATTGAGTATAAATATTACATAATTTTTTATGCAAATATTACAACTTTACATATTAAAATTTATGGACGTAATATTACGGCGGGGAAAATCTCCTGATGATTGATTGTGTACTATCCATATCAGAATTGTCCAACAAGCATCAAAGGTTAGATGCATGTCATGGGAAAATTGCTGCACGTACTAATTAATATATATTTTTTATTCAATTTTAGTTGCGAACCAATTTATTTAAACCAATTGGATATAAAGATATTCATTCCAATGCTCTGAGAACTTCTCCTGAATCAAATACAGAATGTCAAAGATTTGGTTTTGTCAATCCAACAAAACAGCATCTATGTATAAAGCCTAGATGGTGAAAATGAATTGGGAAATTATATTGTGGAAGTATTCTGCAATAAAATGCAACTCACATATCTAAACCTATTCCAACAACCAAAGAAGAAGCAATAAGATTTATAATAAACGATTAATTTTATTATTATTATTATTATTAAATAAAATGAAGTTTTTATAAGGGACTTGAAGAACTTCCATTAGATGTTCCTGATGATCTCGATACATTTTAAATATAAAAGAATTATCTCCGTGTCACAAAAAAAATGCAACTTAGTATTCAATTCTTAATGAATCTATTATAAATTCTAACAACTCTACTTTCGTCACTACAACGACAGACTTCCATTTTCTAACTGTGGATTTATTCTCTTAATCTAATCGATTTGTTCTTTGAAAGTGACTTCGCCGCAGAAAATATTTAATTCATGTAAGGTTCTTTTAATAGCCTTGGTTGAAACACTGATACTCGTTTTTTCATTAAATTTATTTTTAATTTGTTCGGCAGATTTTCATGGTTTAATAATTTAGGACGACTATTTTGATTTTTAATGATAAGATCTTTTTCATCATGATAGTTTTTAATAATGCGAGACCCTATCGTCCTATGAACACCAACGATTCTAGTTATTTTGTAATTGAGTGCATTATTTTTATGAGACCGGCAATTTCGCCACGTTGACTTTCTGATAAGGTTGACATTTTGAGCTTAAAATTTTCAAAGGATTTTTTTAAACCCTTATTAAAAATGATGCTTGTCTCAAGACGCGTATTATCATATTTCAAAAATTTCAGATGAAGTTATTTATTATACGCGTTTTTGAACAATAGATCTTTTCAAAGCAAACATTGTTTGACAAAGAAATTTTTGTCAAAGTTAGCTCAATAAAGGTATTGAACCTAATTGTTTGTTAAACTAAACAAAAAAAAATGGGTAAGTTGATATTTTAATATCTCTATTATTATTTTTTTTTTTAAAAAAAAAGACTCACTTCTACAATCTTGAAGTTTTTAACCCAAGAACTTATTGGCTTATCCAATTTTAAAATATTTCCAATCACATGAATCCTCATGTTTTCAGGTGATGTTACTGTAAATTATATATATATATTTAAATTTTAGATATATATAACCTCACAAATTTAAATGAACAAATATGAACAACGTACATATTTTTCTAAATTCGTAAAAGTCTTTAATAACTTTTTCAGGGTTTTTTGATAATTCACTAATAACTTTTGGTAGAAACTTTTCTTGGAATAAAACGTCTGAAATAAATTTATTTGAATTTTCTCTATTGTACAACATTGTATTTAATATAGTCGCGGTCATCTAAATAAATAAATAAGTAAATGAATGAATAAATAAATGAATAAAATATTTATATGAATAAGTAATAATGTATTGTTTGTTGATTGGTTATTTACTCTTGATCCTTCACGTTTTGACTCTGGTATATTGTTGGTAATTTTTGCAGCTGTGATCTTTAATCTATATATTAAATTATAATTTATAATCGTAATTTCATTATTGGGAAAAGAATATAACGAATTATTAATTATTACCTTTCTGCGGAAAATTCTGTATACCAGAGTATATCACGTAACCACTGAATTCCTTTTTGGTATTTACTTGCCTATAATTAATAAATGATCATTAATCAACCATGGTCGATGATGATTAATAATAACATTGATTATTAATACTATAAATATATTTGCCTCCAATTGAAGTTTGATGCTGATAATTTGATCGAAACCACGTCTTTCACCCATTGCACTATCATACGCGATAGTATCTTTATTCAATTCAGTTATAACTTGTTCATGATCAAGACGAACACCCGTTATAGGGTTGTTGAGTGGCAAGCCGAATATAGACTCAAGGTAGATTTCAATGTATGGGCGTAGATGACTTGGAATTGTCGATGTTGAAAGATAAACTTTAAGGTTTACAAATGACGATTTAACATCTATTATTAATTATTGAATTATTATGTAGGAAGATAATATGTAATCATTTTATATATAATAGGTAATCATGGAAAGAAAGGATACGATCAAATTGCGTAAAGTATGGTAAATCTACACTATTATCTTTGTCCAAGTGAGATTGAACTGTATTATTACTTGTGAATAGTAAAACAATAATCCATTAGTTTTTTATTATGAAGATCGCCAATTTGATTATCACGAGTAAATTTAACAAAACATACAATTTTCCATAAGGTTTATTCCTTCCAGTTAAGACTTTTATAAATGAAATATTATCGACGTTTGGAGTTGGAATTTTCTCTAAAATAAAAAAGGCAAAACGAAAATATAATTGTTAACAGTCAAAATAAAATTATTTGTGATAATTAGTAAATTAATAAACTTTTTTACCCATAACTTCCTTTGGCACTGGCACATCATTTTTCCTTTTAGCTTCTTCCAATTTTTCTTTTAGTTTTTTTAAATTTTCAGGCCCTAAATCTTTGCGCTGTTTCTCCACACGTTCTTCTTCATCCTTGGACAATTTTTCTGCGAATTTTGCTGATGGTTTACCAAGTAAAATTATACTTGGATTATCTAAATAATATCTAATCGATTGTTTTTTTTTTTTAAAAAAAAAATTAAAATCAAAACTTATTTTTAAATTTAATTTTTCCCACCCTCCTATTTAAAAAAAATCAATACTTACTTTTTCAATAGTTCTATCCAATTTTTTTGATCAAATTTCAATAATTGGTCATAAATTTCAAGATTCTTTATTTTTTTTTCAAGGTCTTCTCCATTTTCTTTACCATAAATAAAATCTAATTTTTTTTTTCAAAATATAATTATTATGAATAAATAGTAATATTGTTATCATCGTTATTGGTACCACATTATAGTATTCAATACCTGGTATAGAATACGTTTGAAAAAAATAGTCAGGATTTGTTTCAACTTCATTTAACATCTATAACATTATTATCATTAATATTTGTCATTAATATTTCTTATAATAATAAAGACGATGTTATAATAATAATAATAACGATAGTAATAATAGCATCAATAAAAATTTTCTTAATTACTTGTAACTTGATTCTTTTTATGAGTGTGTTCATCCTTTCCATATCAATTCCATCCTTATGTACAACTCTATTATACAATTCAAATATTTTAGTTGATACTGTTTCTAATTCTTTAGTTGGAACATTAGAAAACATGGCCTGGATGGTCGTGGTTATTTGATCACTAATCATGGTATTTATGTCTGAAGCGATATAATCCAATAATAGTAAAGAGTATTATTATTATTATATATGTTATGACTAATATTATTGTTAGATTAACGTCAGTGTTATTGTTATATTTACCTGTGCATAACGGATCATGGATTTCAACAAATTCTTTTTGAAATACTGACACAGACGAATCACAGAAATAACTATAAAATACAAATAGCATTAATATATTATTAACATTAATATTAAAAATAAATCTCCTCTGATTTGGACTGCTCACTCATTTAAAACTTCCAATGCCTTGATCTCAAAAAAATTCTAAATTATCAAACATATCAATATATATGTAATAATATATGAACCATATAATAATAAGTGGATTAATCTTGTGAATTACATTCTTACACTAAACTCAGGACCTTTCCAAAGAATAGAAACATGACCCATTGATTCATCATCTTCAGGAAATTCTAGAATCTCTTTTATGGTTTTTTTAAGCGGTGGAGGTTTTGGTGAATCAACAAATGGTCTAAAAATGTATAAAGTAAACAAATAATATTTACATTTTTTATAACACAAAAGTTATCATAAAATCAATGATAATATTGTTAAAAATACCTTTTGTGTGGTGGTAATGGACCCTTCTTGGCTATTCTGCCATCGGCAATATCAAGTGTTTTCAACAGCTTATCTTCTTCAACATTACCAATTAACAAAAGACATAGATTATCAGGTCTATAATAGTCACGATGATACTAAATCATAGCTTAGGATTGTTAGTCATAATAATTAATCAAATTAATTAATGTCTAGATCAATTGAATTTAATTTACTTTGCGAACTTTAGTTTACAAAAAAAAAAAAAAAACCGAGAAAGTTATTAAATAAATTTGGAATAAATATTTAATGATCATAATAAATTTAAAATAACTACTTTTTTCCACCCCAAGCTTTCTGAGGCATTCCATCAATCCACCAGTTTCATAACGATATCCACATCCTTCGGGATACATTAATCTCTGAAATCTAAGATTAATTGATTAATCAATTTATTGATTCGTTATATAATTCATGCTATAATTAATAAATGCAAAGAATTTGTATTTATTTACCTTCGTTGAGTAAGAGACTCGCCGCTATTTTGAGATCCCTTTAAAACAAATAAAACAAATAAATGACTTGAATATTTTAATTAAAATATTTATCAATTAGTGCACAAATAATTACCTGCATCTCACTGTAAACGACCTTTAAATAAAATAATATTATTAATTTCTAAAATCAAATATGGAAAATGAATTGATAAAAATCAAATCATTATTTATTTACTCCTGCATCTTCTCCATTTTCGTTAATATGATGAACCTAATATAAATAAAAAAAAAACGAATGTATATTAATATTTATGTTTATATGAAAAAGATTCAATGATATTTATATATTACTTCAGTGTAATAACCAGAATCGGTTAAAGTAGGATATAAAACATGATCAACGTAAATTGGTAACATATTTAAAAAACCCTCACTACCAGCTGTTGTAATTGTGTAAGATGTGTTGTCTACACCTGTCCATCTAAATATAAACAATACAATTATAAATAATTTGAAAACTAAGTGTAAATACAAACATAATACCAATCACTCGATCGATCAATCAATCAATCAATTAATTAATTACGCGTTAGTTCCTTGTGAAAAAGATCTATTTGCAAGAGTGTCAAGAACACCCTTTAATTATAGTAACAGTAATAATAATAATAATTATCATTGTTAAAAAACGTATTCACACCATGTTATTATTACTTATTATTATGATTGTAGTTGTGATTTTACCTTGTATGGATACAATTCACTACCAAGGAATATCAGACTAAAAATTTTTATTTTAACAAGTAAGAATTTAACGAATTTAATGAATTTAATATCAATTGATGGCAATGTTAAATAATCAAATATTACTGTTCTAATGTATGTGGACAGCCATCGTCATCGAATGCTAAAATAAAGTGGTATAATTGCTTGCTTAGTGATGCTCCTCCTTTTATGCATATCATTATTAAAACCAACCTTCAGTTGCAACTGAAAAATATCCATAAACAAGTGGAACTAATAAAATTATTGGAAATTGTTACTAGAATTCAATTATATTAAAAACATTATTATTGAAAGGTACCTTCGGCTTTAACATTGATGGCTGTTAAACCAGTAACAGAAGATTTATATTTTGTAACTGGAATGTCGAAATCTGTTTCAATTTTACGAACAACTTTAAAATTTGTCATTATTTTTTTCAAATACAACGATAATAATAATGATGATTATGATGAGAAGTCTGCCTAATATTCACACACAGTGCGCACATTATCAAATCAATTATTGTTATAGATTATCAATCATCAGCCACATTTATTATTTACAGAAAAAAATTAATTTTATTCATTTTTCGTATTATATTCTCCATCTTTATTATTATGATTTTGATTTTTTTCCCTTATTATTATATTCCGCCATTTCCTTACTATATCTTTCTTTATCTTTTTCGGCTAAATTTTTATATGGCTAAATATTAATAAAAATCATGATTAATTAATAATATAACATATAATATATAGCAGAAATATATCCGCAAAATATATTTAAAATGTAACCTCCGTTTCCTCTTCTGATAAACTCTTCCATTTTTCAGCAAGTTTAGATAAACGAGAAGTGGAACTCTCGCCATCATTTACATTTAAATTCTGCTTAACGAAATGAATATATGACGTGACGGGTTTCTTTGGAAGATTTGGATCTCTCAATAGTTTTTTGTTTTTCAATCCGCGATGTTGATTCTCAAGCTCGATATCTTCCAATGTTAAAGAATTTTGCCACTCTTCGTACTTCTTTCTGTACTCATTTTTACCTTGCTGAAATCTTGCTTCGTAGCTCTTTTTAAATAATTTTTTAGTAAAATAATCATATTAAATGAATGAACAAAATAGAATGCTCATAATAATGATGATAATAAATAATCTTACGCTTTTTTGATCTTTTGATAAATTTTTCCATCTTTCAGCTAAAACTTTAGAAATGTCGCCTAATTTTTTTAATTCGGGATTTTTTGTTCTTTCACTTTTATATTCATCACTCAAAAAAATTACATAAGGTGACCTTGGCTTTTTTGGTTCTGGCTTCGAAATTTTAGGAAGTTTTTCTTTTTATTAAAAAAAAAAAAATCCATGATTGATTAAAATATATTTTTAAAAGAATATACGCTTTCATCACTTTTATTAACTGAAGATTTACCACTATTGGTGGTTTTTTATTAGTTCCAGTCTTAGCCTAGTATCAGTTTAGTCTTACCCTTACCACTAGTTTTAGTCTCACCCTTTTCATTAGCTTTCGTTGAAGCAGCCGCACTCGACCTTTCTTTTAATGATACAGTTGCTTGCCTTAAAATACTAATACTAAAACCACGACTAAGCATTGTCGTTGCTTCTGTTGCTTCCGCTTTAGTTGGATCGATTAAGGCTGCATTAATAATGGCACTTCTTCCCTTTAAACTAGATGATGCTATTTGGGAAATTAATGATAGACAACGAAACATTATATTTTCTCTTTTCTATAGATTTTGAATAATCGCACAAGATTTAAAATACTGAAAAAATTAAATTGATTTTTTAAATCAATCAAATCAATAATAATAATTATTCCGTCATCATTTACCGTGTGAAAAAATTTTCTGATCTACAGTCAAACTCGTTTCAACGAACTATAATTAAATTCGCGTTACAACGAATTTTTTGCTTCAAATATTACTGGCAAAATTTGGTGTAATGATCGCATTTTCATTATCACAGCTGAACTCTTTCTTATTATTATATTCCAATGGACAAAAGTCGCGCACATGTTTTAAAATTAATTTCACAAAAACACACTTAAATAAAAAATGCTACTTTGCAGCTTAGGTTCATCGAATCGTGCGTGCAAAATTTCATTTCTCTAATACCTTTATTGAGCTAACTTTGACAAAAATTTCTTTGTCAAACAATGTTTGCTTTGA